ATATCCACCTGATTCTTCACTAAAGCAAGGGCTCTGGTTCAAACGATAAATCTAGCAAATGAACCCATGAGATACCTGACCATATAACTTCAATGACTTTATACAGTTCCTTCTCATAAACACTGTAATTGTAAAATGTTGCAGGGATTCTTGCCCAGGTTACACATCCAGCCCAGCTGCCCCACTCCTCAATCTGCAGCATACAATATTCTTCATACAATCACTTTCTTTCTTTCCCATTGTTTATCTTTTGATGTCCAAAACCTCAGAATAGGACAAATTGCTTCAAACTGTGCCATTACCCTCAGAACCAAACCTGGACCTAGAATAAGCCCATTAGAATTGACCTGATTTTATTTCAGTATTTACCTGAACTGGAAACATATTGTCATACATACAAAATAGTGGTTTAGCTACACAGGCATGGGGAAACTTTGGCCCTCCAGTGTTTTGTACTTCATATCCTGGAAATCCCAGCAAGTTTGCTGGCTGTTGGGAATTATGGGAGTTAAAGTCCAAAACACCTGGAGGGTCAAAGTTTGCCCATGCCTGAGCTACAGCGTGATGTAGCTGTGTATGTGTATATTGTAGTGCTTTGAGTGTTGAACTATGACTCTATAGACTGGAGTTTGAATCCTTGCTTGACCACAAAAGACACTGGGCAACCTTGGGCAATCACTTCTGAATAAATTTTACAAAGAAAACCCTGTGACAGGGCTACCACACACTAGACATGGTTTGACAACGCACAAGGAAAAGGAGCAGCTGCAGCAGATGTGTGCTCATATATACAAAAATACCTTAGAATTAAAGAAATAAGCTATGCAAAATATTATTGCTAATAGTGAGTGTCGCTTCTTTTCCCCTTAGAAAAAAATGGAAAATAGGTTAGATAATGCAGTTTATTATGCATAGCTAGAATAAACATATACATGTAATTCTCCTAAACTGTAGCAAGAAAGTGTGTGTATGGGAGTGTGTATGTGAATCTTATCTTGCAAGAGAGATTACAGTTTGGAGGAATAAGGTCATAGCTGGCAACATCACATAGGAAAACCACTAGGTAACCTTTGCAGACAACATTTAAAAGATTCTGACTGTGTACTTAGCCAAAAGAAAGGGAGAAATTGCGCTTACTTGGTGCTACAACTTGGCTGTTGTGCTATTTATCAGAAGCCTTGCACCTATGGTTCACTGCATCCAGGGTAAGGTTTGTGCTTGGCGAAATAATGACACTTCAGTTTTTTGTAAAATTAATTTCTGATCCCTGCATAGATATATTTTGTAGAGTTATGGTCTACTTGTAAGATTATCATTTAATGTGTACTTGTGTGTGTATGTGAGGGAAAAAGAGGGAGGAGGAAGGAAAGAAAGTACCATTTATAATGTGATGAATGCAAAAACAAGTCCTGTGCATAAAATTTATTTCTGAAGTAAACACACCATGATGTAGGCAAAGAAGTATAAGTATGCTATAGAATGTTTTCATTGTTATGCTGAAACACAGAGGAAACCTCTCTAGTGCTCTATCCAAAATGGCTTTTAAGGGAACCAGTTTTGTGATACATGCAATAGAGTGGTTGGAGTTTGAAAAGGTTCATAAAATGCTCTGCCAAATGCCTGCAAGAGGTTTTCTGGAACAAAGCCAAAGGAAAAGAACTCAGAAACCTTTAGTAATATAGTATTTGACAGATATGTGCTTTTAAAGTTGACCTTTTGGAGACATATCATCCCTCCAGAGTAGGACAAAAAGATTACAAGACCACTTCCTAGGCAGATTAAGCATTTCAGCCATAATAGCTTTCCAGTGATATTTCTCCTATTTGTTCTCCTTCCCTGTGTCTTCAGATTAAAATGAAATATGACCCATGTAAATCATTAAAAGTTAACATCACATAGTTTGGAGAGCTTCAATACTTGGAAGGAGAAATCCATGCGGAGTCACCAACAGCTACTGAACTGCATTGAGTCACCATAGCTCAGGCAATGTGTGCATAGTTTTTCATTGATTCTTTGATGATAACATAAAGTTCCCTTCCAACTGTATGCAATGAACCATACATATTTCAGTTCTTTTGTCTGTGTCACTTCCTTTTTGAGGAGCCAGTTTTAGGATTCTTGTGAAGTCAGAGAAATTCTCAACAGAGTCAAGGAATTTTTGGTTGTTCAAATCCATCAACATCTCATAATTCCTTATTAGCCAAGTTAGGTTAAGCTGATGTACATTGTAAAATGAACAGTTGGATAGCTGAAGGTTACCTAGTCCTGTTTTAGAAAACGGGGACTACCCTGCTGTAACATGTGTAAGACCTAACTTGTAAGATCTTTAAAAAGGTTTTTTTTAGGATTGCTGCCCAATTTCAGGTACACTTTTATCCCTATGCTTGATCAATATTACTTGCAAGTAGGCTTTTAGGTAAGGAGATAGCTCTTGCCACCCATCTTCAAAGAAGATTAAGTTTCTTTTAAAAGTACAATTTGGAATTTTTCTATGAACCCCTGCCCCTCCTGCTTAGCAGAGAAATTGTATTATTGTTGCCAGAGCAATCAATGTTTAGCACACTAGTTTAGCACACTAGTCAAACTGACTAGTACATCTATACTCTATATTGGATTGGTTTTGACTCGTATGGAAACTCCATTGTTTTCATCAGAGGACAATCTAAGGCCCCATCTACACTGATCATTTAGTAATTAAGAGACATTGTCAGAATGTGAGAAGCAGAAGTCACATTCAGATCTGCCCCTTGTACACAGATCCACTTTGGGCTAATTGTCCATTATTAAACAGTTAGCCTGCAAATATCCTACAGAGAGTTAAACTCTGGAAGAAATTTTTCACTAAACCAGAACACCCAAGCATTGCTCTTATCAAAGAGCAAAGGATACAGGTCCCAACAAAGGCACCTCAGGGTCTGGATATGGGACATAGTGAATATGTGCTTTAAAATGGAACTTGGAAACAACAAATTATCATGTAAAATATAAGATTTAAACTGCACAGTTCTATTAAAATTAACAACCTTTACTTGCTGATGCTCACTGATGGTTATTTCAATGTTGTTTAGATTTCCATCCTCACTCTCTCATTTGCCTTAACTGCAACACCTTCTTCCTTCTGTCTCCTTCATTACACTGTATATTTCACTAGGAAAGCGATTTTTATCTTAATTTTGGTGTGTGTTGTTTTTTGTTTGTTTGGAGAGGGTTGCATTTTTGTCTAATTTTAAAGGATAATCAGGCTCATTTATTTCTATGCTAGACTCTATATGACTGAGAGAGAGACACCAGAGACACTGGATGTAGGCAAGCCAACCAAACTAGAACCTGGAAATAATTAAATTTCAGCAATTTGTAGTTATATGAATGTGTCTTTCCATGCATGCATGTACACACACATTTAATGCACATATATTAGGGACACATCTACCTCAGTGTTTCAGTACTTCAGTAACTCTGTAGTCCTGGCATTTCCTAGATTCATTGCTGCTGCCACAATTCAAGGTTACGGCTGCGTCCAGGCCTCATTTCATCATCACCTCTTGGTGAAAAATCTGCAACACCTTTTAATCAGATGCAGACCTAACATTATCGGTCATGCCTTTGGCAACTCAAGGCTAAATTATTGTAACAGACTCTGTGTATGTGTGCGGTCCTTAAAGACTGTTTGGAAGTTTTAGTAGCATACTGATGCTGGCATCCTGATGGAATTTACTATTTCTCACTGCTTCTGTTAAAAGACGTCATTTATCCCACAGGCAGGAGGAAAAGGGGGGAAAGCATCCTTAATAGTGGGGATGTGACCTATCCTGCAATATCTGTTGTGAACTGGGTTATCTGAGTCCACACTCAGATAATGTGGGATTTTCTGCATTGATATTCTGGGATAAAGGACTGTATTGAAGGGCCCTCAGATAACCCAGTTCAAAGCAGATATGTGGGATTTTCTGCCTTGATATTCTGGGATATAGTACTGTGTGGAAGGGCCCAAAGTCTTTGTCTGAACTTTACAGGAATAATCTAAAGCCCCTTCTACACTGCCCTATATTCCCTGATCCCAGTTAATCAGTTTGTTTCTCCCAGATTGTATGGCAGTGGAGACTCATATAATCCAGTTTAAAGCAGATAATCTGGGATCAGATCCTGGGATATAGGGCCCTTCCACACAGTCATATAACCTAGAATATCAATGCAGAAAATCCCACAATATCTGCTTTGAACTGGGTTATCTGAGTCCAAACTGCCATATATTCCAGTTCAAAGAAGATAATGCAGGATTTTATTCAGATATGTGGGCATTGTATATCCAGCCTAAGATACTGAACCAGTCCTGTATCTAGGATAGCTCCCTTAAAGTTCAGTGGGATGAATGGAAAGATTTGTGGTCCATAGTCTACCAGAAAGACTGAATTTCTTCATCTCTGATCTATCTTGACTGGAAACATCTATTCAGGATTTCAGGCAGAGATGTTTCTCATCAACTGCTACTTAATTCTTTTAAATGAGGGTGCCAGAATTCTTAGCTGACATCTTCTATTTATGAACTATTTGGATCATAGTCCTGCTCCCGCTGAAAGCAAAATGAGTCACAAATTGTGACTACCTTTTTCTGGACACTACCCTGTATTAAAGACTGTAATCCAGTATAGTAAACAACAAGCATTTTTGTTTGCTTCTTTTTTTTCTTTCACTAAAAAACCACAAAGGTGTCAAGTCAGATAACTTGGGGAGACATCTGAAAGTGTATGCTGGTATCTCTTTAAAAATATGACTCAAGAATGTGGAGATAGTGGGGAGGAAATTTGCAGTATTGCATAATTTCTTTTTATATACATGGTCACATGAAAAGGGAAGAAAACAGTTTCCACATACTGAAAGAACAAGCAGTGCTCAACACTGATGTATGTTCAAGGTGAATAGCTTTTGGGTTAACCACTTTTGTGCCCCTTAAAGTCACCTTTCTCGTCTGTCCTCCAATGAGATAGGCCTTTAATACTGTTTTAAACTTGGGCATCATATCGAGCTGCAGAACCTTTTCCAGCAAGCCATTCCAAAATTGCGGTATGGGGCACCGGGAGAGCAGATCCTCTTGTTAACAGTTGCCAGCCTAGCCTTGGCTGGCTGAAGTAAATCTCTTCCAGAAGACCTGGCTGTATGGAATGGGTTATACAGAAAAAAGGTTACTCAAATCCAAACCATATATAGCTTTAAGGATGGCAACAACTCACCCTCAGTATCTTTATCTTGCTCAGAAACTATATGGTTGCCATTGGAGAGGTTTTAATATTGGGGTAATATGATCACTCCTAGATGTGCCAGTAACCAATCTGGCTGCCATGTTTTACACTAATTGAAGTTTCCAACTTTGTACAGAGGTAATTCATTGTATAGCACATTGGAGAAGTCCAGCCTTGAGATTACCAGCACTATTGGATTTAGGTCCTCCAGCTTTAAGAAGGGGCGCAGCTGGCTTCAGCCAAAAGTAATAGTAAAACACTTCTGTCTGTTGTATCTATCTGGTCTGACACTTGATATGTAGCACTCCCAAGCTGCAAATATAGTTTTAAAGAAATGTGTTGATCCAGTCAGGACTAACTACCTCCAACTTCATATTAGGAACCTTAATTAGCTCTATTTTGTCTGCATACCATTTCTGTTTAGTTTTCCTCATCCTGCCCGTTACCTCCCCCAGGCATTCATTCAGAGGATACACACTCTCCTTAGCCCCAAACCTCTTCAGAGCATGCATTTTCCTGTAAGTTACACATTTCTGCAATAGCAGCAGCTATTCCAGGCAATCAATCTACAGACTCTCAGTCTCACATACTGTAGAGTTCAGAAATGGTCACCAAATCTGCTAGTTAAAATGCACACAGGGAATAGTACCCCTGACCTTTCATTGCAGAAAGCCAGATCCCTGCCATATGATCTAAGAAAATCTTTCCCTTAAATGACAATTTCTGTTTTCTGTGTAGACAAGCTTTTGGTTGGCAGAAACTGACACTAAGCTGGTCTTATATTAAAGGAAAAGGTTGCCTCATATGTTTCATAGCTCCTGCTCCCCCACCACCATCACCAAATGCAAGGACAGTTAAAGGCAATAGAAAGGGGGCTGCTATAAAATGCTTCAGTTTTGGGTGGTAGCATTAGATGTGTGTCTTTACTTTTGCTATGTCATTTCTTATTTACATCTGAACCACCAGTCCCAGCAGTAGAGTAAAGCTATACATAAATTTCTCATCTTCCTGAACAGTGATGAGTCCATGGATCAGTGCTTGGTTTACTGAGGATTAATTCCTTTGGAACCAAAGAGAGACTTGAGACTTTAAAAGTACAATCCTAACTGAAAAAATGCATGAACTCATGAGGATTAGGCACCAGTCCTTTCTGCCAGCAGAAATGCCCTTCCAGGAGCAGAAATGAACTTCTACCTGATGAAGTATCTGCCATCAGAGATCTGCCGACTGAAAAACCTGCCAACAGAACAGTTCAAAGGACTATCATATGCAGTCAGAAAAGCCAAAGGCAAAGGAGAAGAAAAGACAATTGCCATCCAGGTTTCAACCCCAGGAGACTATCAGACACTTCGTACAGGAACTATTTAGTGGTAGCACACCCTTTGATAGATTATTTCCCTCCATATTCAGCTTCCCATATTTATTAATACAAGTTTATCAGAGCTGGGAAAAAAATACTTTTTTAACAACAACAGCTTTAAGCATGGCAGGACTCCTGGTGGATAGAGCATTCTGGAAGCTGTAGTCCAAGAAAAAAAAACTTAAATGTGATATTAAGGTATCCAGTATTGTTTTTAAGTTCTAACAAGAAGAAAAAAATGTATGGATGAGGACTACAAAATAACATTTTCCTACTTCTATTATATGTTTTTAGTAAAATAATAACATAGAAGTTAATGATGGAGTTAATGATGGATGGGAGCTTTCAGCTGAGCTAAGATTTAAAGGAGACATGTACAAGAAATTGAAAGGGGCTGAAATCACCAAAGAGGAATTCAGACAAATAACCAACACATGTAGGGAAAAGGTCCAAAAGGCTAATGTGCAAAATGAGCTCAAGCTTGCCAGAAACATTAAAAACAATAAAAAGGAATTATTTGGTTATGTTAGGGAAAAATGAAGAAGAAGAGAACAGTAGGCCTTGCAGAGGATGGTGAAATATTGACAGGGGATAGGGAAAAGGCAGAATTACTCAATACCTTATTTGCTTCAGTCTTCTCCCAAAAGAACATCAGTATTCAACCTGAGCAATATGGGGTGGACAAGGCAGTAGGGGATATGCAATCCAAAATTGCTAAAGAAGTGGTCAAGGAATACCTGTCTACTCTAAATAAATTCAAATCTCCAGGGCCAGCTGATCTACATCCAAGAGTATTGAAGGAACTATCAGAAGTCATTTCAGAACAACTGGCAATAATTTGAGATTTTTTGGAGAAGTTCCAGCATACTGGAGGAGGGCAAATCCTCCTCCAGTATTCTGGAACTAATAATAATAATAATAATAATAATAATAATAATAATAATAATATAATAACAATACTTGTATCCCTTCCCATCTCCTAATACAGAACTCGGAGCAGCTAACAACATAAAAGGAAAATATTAAATGCCAACAAGTACATACATACAGACATCTATATAAATAAAAATGTAAAGTTCATTTGTAGGATTAAGATAACTCAAAAACCACTGGACGAATTGACATCAAATTTGGACACAATATACCTATCAGACCAATGACTGGCCATCACTCATAAAAACACTGAAAAACACAGTGGAAGAGACTTAAAAAGCCAAAAAAAACCCCACATTATAACGCATGCGCAAAACCACATATATACACATACACACACAAAAAAACACATATACACAGACTGGGCCACCGCAACACATGGCAGGGGATGGCTAGTAACTTAATAAAAAGCTTTTAAAACCCAAACACATTCAATAATTTTAAAAATCATAATAAACAATACCACACTAAACAGTGCCTATAGTGTTAAAAGCCATATTCCATTCCACATTACTTTTTTTTAAAAAAAACCTTATTCCTATTATGTTCCACATTGCTTAAAAAAAACTAAAACACTTTAGAACCTTAGCTTTACCATCTGCTTCTCCATATGCTTAGGAGCATAAAAAAATTTAACTGCTTTCTGAAGGAGGATAGCAAGGGGGCCATTTTGATTTCCTTTGGAAGTGAGTTCCAGAAGGGAAAAAATAGGACTCAAAAAATTACTGTCCAGTCAACCTGCCATCAATACCAGGAAAGATTCTGGAGCAGATCATTAAGGAGGCAGTCTGTAATCGCGTAGAAAAGAATGCTGGGATCACTCAATATCAACATGGATTTCTCAAAAACAAGTCATGCCAGAGTAATCTTATCTCTTTCTTGATAGAGTTAAAAGCTTTGTAGATACAGGGAATCCTGTGGATGTAGCATATCTTGATTTTAGTAAGGCCTTTGGCAAAGTCCCCATGATACTATTAGGTGGATCTGTAATTGGTTAAGTAACCCAACCCAAAGAGTGCTCACCAATTATTCCGCTTCATCCTGGAAAGAAGTAACTAATGGAATTCCACAGGGCCTAGTCCTGGGCCTAGTTCTGTTGAACATCTTTATTAATGACTTGGATGAAGGCTTAGAAGGCATGCTTATCAAGTTTGCAGATGACAACAAATTGGGAGAAACAGCTAAAACTGTAGAAGACAGGATCAGAATTCAAAACAACTTTAACAGATTAGAGAGTAGGACCAAAACTAACAAAATTAATTTCAACAAGTAGAAATGTAAAATACTACACTTAGGCAGAAAAAAAATGAAATGCAATGACACATAATGGATGACGCCTGGCTCGACGAAAGTCAATATGAAAAAGATCTTAGAGTCTTTATGGACAACAAGTTAAACATTAGCCAACGGTGTGATGCAGGAGCTGAAAAAGCCAATGGAATTTTGGACTGCATCAAATGGAGTATAGTGTCTAGATCAGGGGTCCCCAAACTCAGGCCCGCGGGCCAGATGCGACCCGCCAAGGGCATTTATCCGGCCCGCGCGGCCTGGCCTGGCCTGGCCTGGCGCAAAGCCCCTCGCTGTTTCTCTCCCTCCGGAGCAGCTTCAGGCAGGGTTGTGCCGGACCAGGCTTCTCCCTCTTTCTTTCTTTCCTTCCTTCCTTCCCCTTCCCCCTTTCTCTCCCCCCTTCCTTCTCCTTTCCCCTCCCTCCTTCCCTCCCTTCCTTTCCTTCTTCCTTCCTTCCTTCCTTCCCTCCCCTGTGGGGATGCCGGCCCGGGGAAGCCAGCGTTGCTTGGCCACGCCCACCTGGCTCCGCCTCCGCTTGTTCTCCTGGCACGGCTGGGAGGGGAACAGGAGGTGCTTCATGGCCACAGATCTTCTTCTGCTGTGCTCTCTTGTTCTCCGTGGCCACGAGACGCCACCTGCTTCCCTCCCAGCCATGCCAGGAGAACAAGCGGAGGCGGCGCCTGGCCCGGTGTCCCCACGGAGAGAAGGAAGAAGGAAGGAAAGGAAGGGAGGGAAGGAGGGAGAGGAAAGGAGAAGGAAGGGAAGGAAGGAAGGGGAAGGGAAGAGAAACGGGCAAGGGGAAGGAAGGAAAGAAGGAAAGAGGGAGAAGCCTGGTCCGGCCATGTTTGGTCCAGATCTAATATTGTTTGAGTCCACAGTGATCTCTGGATGTAGGTAAACTACAACTGCAAAACCAAAGGACACTGCCCACCAAACCCTTCTAGTATTTTCTGTTAGTCAGGGGAGAACTGTGTGCCAAGTTTGGTTCAATTCCATTGTTGGTGGGGTTCAGAATGCTCTTTGATTATAGGTGAACTATAAATCCCAGTAACTACAATTCCCAAATGTCAAGGTCTATATTTCCCCCAAACTCCACCAGTGTCCACATTTGGGCATATTGAGTATTTGTGCCAAGTTTGGTCCAGATCCATCATTGTTTGAGTCCACAGTGATCTCTGGATGTAGGTGAACTACAACTCCAAAACCAAAGGACACAGCCCACCAAACCCTTCCAGTATTTTCTGTTGGTCATGGGAGAACTGTGTGCCAAGTTTGGTTCCATTCCATTGTTGGCGGGGGGGAGGGGGGGTGTTCAGAATGTTCTTTGATTATA